TGCAGTGAGGACATAGGGAGAGCCTGGGGCATGTCTTTCCTCCCTCTGTCCGTCCAGTTCTACTCCCCCAACCAGGGTCCAGTTTCAAGACCACCTCCTCCAGGGAACCACCCATGACCCTTCTCACTTCATCAGGGCCCTCCTTACCCAGAGCTCCTGTATTCTTCCATTTGAGGCCCTGATTTCCTTGGTCCCCTCCACAATTAGTTCCCAGAGATGGAGCCAGTCCCAGAGAACCAAGATGGGGATCAGAAGACCTGGGTCTTAGTCCTGACTGCCTGACAGGTGTGTACCCCTGAGCAGAGCCTTTCTGATCAGACTTCAGGTTTCTGTCAGAAGCCTAGGGGGTTATACTTGGGTTCTGATTCCAGAACTCTGGGCCCAAACTACCACCTCGTACAGGCATGACATAAAGAGGGTTCCTCTCTAGGAACCTGCTGCTGCCTTTTTCCAGGGTTGGGAGCAGCCAAGGTAGGTCCCAGTGCCCATAGTCTAGGCTAGGGTAAAGCTGGGAGGGGGCCCCTGGGGGAGTTGGGACATCTCTATACCTGACAGAATCTCCGCAGGGCCCGCTGGTTGGTGAGTTTATACTTCCAGGTAAGATACCAGCTCCGCTTCTTACGAGCCCCAAAGGGCTTGATGAGGGAGCTGGGCTTCCAGTCGTCCATGCCGGATTGGGAAGTCACCACTGTCCTGGCCAACCCATGCCTTCCGGAATCTGAGAGGACCAGAGGGTCAGAGGGAGAAGGGTGTATCTCCCGAAGTCTGATGCTTTCTGAGGAGACCAGGGAGGACCTCCCAGCAACTCTTCCCCGCCGACATCCAGGCTGTGTGACCTGGGAAAAGTGGCTCAACTGCTCTGGAAAGGAACCCTTCGGAGGGGTCAGATCACCTGGAAACTCCCCTGGGGCTGGGGTAACTGGCAGAGCTGCCCAGGGCCCCCCCAGAGCAGAGGCCAAGTAATCAGCTCTCAAGGTTCAGCAGCCCCTAAAAGGACCAAGCCCCAGGCCTTCCTGGTCCTGCGGTGGGCAAAGGGCACAGACACCACCCCCCAACCCTGGCCCCCAATCCTCCACCTCCTTGCGCCCTCGCCCTCTCCTATCTGGCCCCGCTCTTCTCCTTCCAGGGCTCGGGGCCGCCCTGAGGACTCGAGAGACCTGCACCGGCCGCGCCACCCCTCCGGGACTCCCGCCCAGAAGGACTCACGGCTCAGGGGGCCCGGGCCCCGCTCGGGCCCCTCTCGGGCCCGCACTGCTCCGCCCGGCGCGCCGCGGCCTCCGCCTCCTCCATGCCGCTCGCGGCCCCGCCCCGGCCCGGCCCGGCCCGCCTCCCCGCTTCCGCCGCCGCCGCCGCCGGGTGAGAGGGCGGCGGGCGGTGCTTAGGCCGGCGGCGGCGGTTGTCCGCAGCCGGCGAGTACTGCGAGTACTTAGTCCCCCAGCAGCTTCGCAACTGGCGGGCAGGGTGGCTGCTGGGGGAGAGCAGCAGCACCCCCCGCCCTTAGCCTTGGCCCCCAGCATCGTGGATGGCAAACCCGATTCAAGTCGGAGTCCCAGAGCCTTGGACGAGACCACTCGGGATGCCAGGGTCAGAGGGCCTACAGGCCTCGGACACAGCTACCCGCTTTCCCTGCTTGGGCAAGGCTGAACCCAGGGCTGCGGTATGCCTTTGCAGGCTAAGAGGAATTAAAAATCTACTTCTAACACTACCCTAGACCTTGGGCAAGTCACTTCACGTCAGCCTGGATTCCCTAATCTGTGAAATGAGAGTATGCTTATATGATGCTTACTCTATGCCAGTCACTGTTCCAAGCACTTTACTTAAATCAACTCACTTAATTCCACAACAGCCATGAAATAGGCACTATTAGTAATGAGGCCCAATGTCACAAAGCTGGGAGAGCTAGAAATCAGACCAAGTTATCCCAGCTCGATTCCACTCTTAACCTGCCGCCCTATATTGACAGGAATAATACAGAGTTGTCCTTAAGGTTTAATGAGATAATACCTACAATGCACTTAGCTTAACACAGTGGTTCTTAAACTTTACCTTGCATCAGAATCACTCAGAGGGCATCTTAAAACACAAATTACTGGGCCCCATTCCTAGAGTTTTCGATTCAATAGTCTGGGGCAGAGCAGAATACTTCGTTTCTAACAAGTTTCGAGATGGTAGTGATGCTTATTTGAAGTGAGTAGGTAGACAGGGAAGTTTTAAGCAGAGGAGTGATATATTCCTATTTAAGAGAAACTTTACTGTTTTGTGGAGAATGTTTTAAAAGGAAACGGAGGAAGCCAGAAAACCAGTTAGATTTTTTTGAGCTCTCCATATTCCACCCGCTTCCTAAATGGTGGGATGGTATCCCCCAAAATGTTAACATGAGTGATTTTTCCTTTTTTTCTTTGTATTATTCCTTATAAGTATGTATTAGAGAAAATCTAAAACATTTTATTAGCATTTGAAAAAGATGTCCCTCAGGGCTCCTCCCTGATCTTCACTACCCAGTCTCACTCTTCATGGTAGATTTTTTTTTTTAAGATTTTATTTATTTCTTTGACAGAGAGAGACACAGCAAGAGAGGGAACACAAGCAGGGGGAGTGGGAGAGGGAGAAGCAGGCTTCCCGCGGAGCAGGGAGCCCGATGTGGGACTCCATCCCAGGACCCTGGGATCACGACCTGAGCCGAAGGCAGACGCTTAACGACTGAGCCACCCAGGCGCCCCGATCTTTTTTTTTTTTTTTAAGATTTTATTTATTTATTTGAGAGAGAGAGCATGAGAGGGGAGAGGTTCCGAGGGAGAAGCAGACTCCCCGCTGAGCTGGGAGCCTGATGTGGGGCTCTGGGATCACGACCTGAGCCAAAAGCAGTCGCTTAATCAACTGAGCCATCCAGGCATTATCCACTCTCCTGACCTCTATTACGGCCTAGATTCTTACACTCATAACTACAGTCCCAACATTTCTCCTGAGCCCTAGGCTGACCTGTGTCCAACTGCCTACCGGAAATCTTCACAGGACCCTCCAACTCAATGCAAACCCTGCTGTGATCATCTCTTCCCATTCCTAGACTTCTTTTTGGGTTCCCTTCCTTTTTGAATGGCATCAGGCCAAACAGCTGAGAGTCACCCATGAATCCTCTTCTCCAGTGACCAGTCCAGGTATGTTTGCTCATCACTGTATTCTCTGTACCACACACACTGGCTAGCAAATAGTAGACTCTCCATAATATTTATTGGAATCATTTGTTTTCTTGAACAAGCCTTCATGAATGCCACTATAAATGAATGTAACCAGTCAGCAAGTCTTGTCAATCTTACCTCCTTAAGAGTTCTCCATTCTGGCCTAACTCTTCTCCAACCTCACAACCAGCCCCTGGTCCAGTCCATTTCAGTTTCTTGCCTTCCAATCAGTTTCCTTGACTCCAGATTTGTACCCCTCCAATCCTTTTCCCTTGCAAAATCCAGAGTAATTTTTCAAAAAAGCAAATCTGTTTTTTTAACCTCTGATAACCCTTCTGTGGACCAAGAGATACTCAGGAAAAATATTTTACTTAAGGTTACAGAGATAGCCATTAAATGATCTAAAAATAATGATAGAAATATATAGGTCAATGGAAGAGGGCAAGTACAGAGTGCGAGACAAATATTTATCATAACAGGAAGTCAGTAGACAATATTTAAAATTAATAAATAGTAGTGCTGTATAAGTGTATGTGGGTTTTTTTTTTAAGATTTTATTTATTTGACAAAGAGAAACACAGCGAGAGAGGGAAAACAAGCGGGGGAGTGGGAGAGGGAGAATCGGGCTTCCTGCCGAGCAGAGAGACCAGGAGCCCGATGTGGGGCTCAATGTGGGGCTCGATCGCAGGACCCTGGGACCATGGCCCGAGCCGAAGGCACACGCTTAACGACTGAGCCACCCAGGCGCCCCAGTGTATGTGGGGTTCGTTGCCGCCCGGGAGTGGGCCTGGAGTGGAAAAGGATAGAGCAAGTTAACTATCTTTACGTAAATCCTTCTGTGACCACGCACTGGAATTACTTGGATTAAATACCCAAATCAAGCCAAACAAAAAAAGTTTTTCATGGTTCCCCATTGCCTATAAAATATAATCCAAGCACCACAGAACTATCTTCTATAACCCTTGTTACTCAAAGTGTGGTCCCTGGCCCAGCAGCATGACCATCACCTGGGAGCTTGTTAGAAAAGGACCTCAGGCTCCTCAGATCTACAGAATCACCATCTGCGTTTTAACAAGATTCGCAGAAAATTCATAGCCACAGACAGTCAAGCTTAAGAAACATCAGTCTACAGGATCAAGCATGATCTGGCCCATGTGGACCTTTTCATCTTCAATACTGGTTGCTTCTCATTGGCCAGAAGAACGTTATTTTCTACTTCTTTAAACTCAGTGACAGGGCACTGGGCTGGCTCAGTCAGAAGAACATGTAACTCTGGATCTCCGGGTCTGAGTTCGAACTCCATGTTGGGTGTAGAGCTTACTTTAAAATAAATGAATAAGTAAACTTTAAAAAAATAAAAAATAAATTCAGTGGCTACATTGAAAGTGTATGTGTGCGTCAGTAGCTAGCTAAATTCTAACCATTGCTGTAGATCCAGCCCCTCTACTCCAAGAAGCCTTTCAAAACCTTCTGCAGCTTCTGTCACCTCTGTTCCTTAAACGCCCATATACCCTAACTGAGGATGCTTAGCTTTTTTCAGCAAACACTTACTGGGCGCCTGCTGTGTGACTGGCTGGATTCAGTTGGCGGAGTGGGGGGAAGGCACTGAACTCTCCTAGTGCTCTTTCAAGTACAAATCCAAGTACAGATCGCCCAGACCCGCTCTGCGCGGCTTTTCTGAGTGTTACGGCGCCCTCCGCCCGCCCCCGCGCGGCGCCCGCGGGGACCCACCGGTTCGGCTCCGCACCAGCAGCGCGGAAAGGAGAACCCCGGGAACGAGACCCTGCCGTCCGGTCGCCCGGTCCTCTTCAGCCGTAGGCCCGCATGGAGGGGACTGCGGAATCCCAGACGCCTGACCTGCGAGATGTGGAGGGCAAGGTGGGCAGGAAGACCCCTGAAGGGCTGCTCCGCGGGCTGCGAGGCGAATGGGAGCCGGGAACCCCCGGCGCCCTGCTGCTCCCGGGGGCGCCTGGCACCGGCCACGGCCACGGCCTGGGGGACAAGATCATGGCGCTGAGGATGGAGCTGGTGAGTGTGGGCTCCATGGGCCAGGAGGACGGAGTCCCCAGCTAGGGTTGGAAGGGACAGAGTTGTGCCCCGAGTTGGAGTGGAGAGGAGCGGATTACAGCTCCGTATCTAACTCCTCAGGATCCCCCCCCAGGTCAGTCCTTAAACCCTGGGGTCCATTAATTGCCCCTCCAAAGGTGAGTGGGTCCTGAAGACTTGAGGTGGGAGGCACTGGCTCTTGGAAGTTTTTCCTGCCAAATATTTGGGAGGGGAGTGGTGGGGCTGGGAAGCACTGAGAATCTAGCACAGCACAAATCTGCCCCCACCCGACCCCCCACCTTGGGCCATCTATCCCCTGGCCGCCATTATAGGGCAACCAGTTTCTTCTACTGCAAACTGGGTGCAGCGTTTGCTAGTCTGAGGCCTCGGTGTCCATGACAGGATTCAGCACAGAAGAGACCTGGGTGAAAACCGCCTGGACTAGGGCCACTAGAAACACCCTCCCGTTCCCCAACCTCCCCCCACCCGACCCCCACTTAAAGTACTTGGAAGTTCCTAGAACTTGGGCAGAGTAGCAGCAACATCAGTGTTGGTGCCATCACCCCTGAGCCCCCCAGGTATACTGGATTTTTGCATCTCATCTGTACCTTCTTGGGGAGAAAAGAAGGAAATAGGCACCCTCCCCCTCCCCTGTTGCTGCTGGTCTAGACTCAGAGCCAGAAGGGCATTTGGGGCTGCCTAGGCTCCCCAAGGCCCTGGTTCCGGTGAAGGGGTAATTTACACCTGCCACCACTTTGCAGCCAGTTCTGGGGAACTGAAGAATTCTCTCTGGCTCAGAACCAGGAGGCCACAGTAAGTGTGTCAGCTAATAGGTCTTTCTGGAGCCCACCATCTGCCTAGCTGGGCTGTGAGAGAGCAGAGAAGGAGGGCATGGGGGCTCTTAGGCTGGGAGGAGAACTTTCTGGGCAGAGCAATCAGGGAAGGCTCCGTGGGGGAAGGATTTAAATGCCAGGTGTGCACTTGGCCCGAAGGTTGGAGGTGAATGCCAAATTCTTCAGAGAGGGCTGTGACTGCCCACCTAAGGGAGGGGCTTGACTTTGCTTCATTGTACAAAGTGGTGCCAGGCATCATGCTGAGCACTTTACAAAATATTCGCTTAATCCTCACAGCAACCTTATTAGGCAAATGATATTTTATAGATAAAGAAACTGAGGTACAAAGAGGTTAAGTAACTGCCCAAGGTCATACAAAAAGTAAAAAGCAGAGCCAGGCTTTGAACTCAGATGATCTGCCTGCACTTTACATTTTTACCATTGAGATCTGCTTTGTGCCACACACTTTAAAGACATTTTATGTCACTGAAGTGAGAAAAGCAGTCATCTTTCCCCAGTCCCATAGATGAAGCATGCCTGCAGGTGTTAAGGGGCTCACCTGCGCTTACACAGGGAGTCAGTGGAGAAGCCATGCCTCTTCTCTGGCTCTCACTCTTTTGCCTTTGATGGAGATTAGCAGTTTGTAAACTTTAAGGGGGTACCTCTAAATTCTGATTAGGTCTCTACGTTCTTGACCTAGCCTGGCCTGGGACCCTAGGCTGCCCATTAAAGGTACAAAGGAGGGAGCCTGCTGGGGGCCAGAACAGGGAAAGGCTCCCCACCCCATTCCTTTCTCCTTCCTTGGCCAAGATGTCTTTGTGTACTCAACCCTGGGGGGGGGGCACTGGGCAGACGGTTTCCCTTGGAGCCACTCACTGGTGGCAGAACTGGTCCAAGCTCTTTAAGCACTCCTGCAGGGAGGGGGCAGGCCTGCTCCTAAGGCCAAGGTTATTCCTGCCTCTAGGCTCCTTTCCTCTTGCTTCCCTCCCCGTCTCACAGGTTGAGTGAACCAGCCAGACTCTGGGATTTGTGGTAAGGGAAACAATAGCAACCTCCCCTACTTAATCCTCCTACCCAAAGAACTGTTGCTGCGACAACCCACCCCCACAGAGCAGCTTGAAAAAAAAGCTTTAGGCAAGGAGGGGGAAGTCATGGGTTCAAGTCCTGACTCAGCTCCTGCATCATTTTGAGACCTTGAGTAGAGCCCTGACTTTCTGTTGGCCTCAGTTTTTCTGCCTCTTGGAGGATGAGGGGACAGGGGCTTGTGGGATCATATAGTCCTAGTAACAATAGTGTGAGAATCTCAATCCATGGCCAGGGGGCTGGGCCTGGGATCTCTGGGCTTTGCCCCAGGGCCTGATGTGGATTGAGCAACGAGGAAGCCATACTTGTGACCCTGGGGCTGGGCAGAGTCTGCTGTGTATGTGTTAAGAGGGTAGTGGGGGACCTGAATCCCCCTGGGAAGAGAATTGTTTTGGAGTGGCTTTTGAGGCTGTATCTGTCCTGAGGATTTATCCTCTTTCTGTTTCCAAAGAGATGGTATGGAATGAGTGTTTCTTTTTCTGGCAAGAAAGCCTTGCTTTTTTCTATTCTGGGGAGTGTTGCTGTCACAGTCAGGGAATCCCACTGTCACAGGACTATAGAATCTAGTTCTCAGATTCATTTCCCATCAGCACGGCAAAACTCAACCCCCTGAATCCTGGAGACCACCAGAGGGGCCAAGGATATTAAAGGCAAGAGATCACAAAGCTGACTCTGACCCATCCAGTCTGAGGCTAAGCGCCATCAATGAACTATGCAGGACCTGCTGTCAGGGAGCTCACAGGCTGAGTTCACAGGAAGGAGGGAGACAGACTAATAACTCTGGTACAGGATGATAAGTGTTACTAGAACCCAGGATGGGCTTCCTGGAAGAGTCTTCATTAAGGAGTGACATGGTCAGATTTGTACTCTGGAAAGACTACTTTTTTTTATTTTTAAGATTTTATTTTTGGGGCTCCTGGGTGGCTCAGTCGGTTAAGCGCCTGCCTTCAGCTCGGGTCATGATCTCAGGGTCTGGGGATTGAGCCCCGCTTCAGGCTCCCTGCTCACTGGGGAGCCTGCTTCTCCATCTCCCTCTGCCTGCCACTCCCCCTGCTTGTGCTCTCTCGCTCTCTCTCAAATAAATAAAATCTTTATAAAAATTAAGATTTTATTTTTAAGTAATCTCTACACCCAAAGTGGGACTCGAACCTACAATCTCTAGATCAAGAGTCACACACTCTACCAGCTGAGCCAGCCGGGCACCCGCGGAAAGTCTGCTTTGAATTGGAGGGGTTACATGCTGTGCCCTCTGGTTGGAATGCCTCTCTCCACCGCTTACTCAGGCTAAGTCCTACTTAACCTTTGTTTTTGTTTTTTTAAGCTTTTTTAAATTTAAATTTAAATTTAAATTAAATTAAATTTATTTATTTGACAGAGAGAGACACACACAGCGAGAGAGGGAACACAAGCAGGGGGAGTGGGAGAGGGAGAAGCGAAGCAGGCTTCCCACGGAGCAGGGAGCCCGATGCAGGGCTCCATCCCAGGACCCTGGGATCATGACTTGAGCAGAAGGCAGACGCTAACCAACTGAGCCACCCAGGCGCCCCTGTCCTGAATAATTTAATAAACATTTATCAGTTAATATATATTTTTAAAAAAACTAGCACCGAAGGTCTCCAGATTGAGAGACAACAAGTAAAGTTGAGGGCAAGAGGGATTAAGTAGGGGCACCTGGGGTGGCTCAATTGGTTAAGCAGCCAACTCTTGATTTCAGCTCAAGTCAGGATCTCAGGGTGGTGAGATTGAGCCCCACGTGGGGCTCCGTGGTCAGTGGGGAATCTGCTTGAGATTCTTTCCCTCTCCCTCTGCCTCTCCCCGCACCCCCACCCTTATCCCCCCCAACCCCGCTGTCTTGCGCACACACACTCTCTCTCTCAAATAAATAAATCTTTTAAAAAAAGAAAGATTAAGTAAAAATGTACCAAGTTTTTTTTTTTTTAGGATTTTATTTACTTATTTGACAGAGAGAGACACAGCGAGAGAGGGAACACAAGCAGGGGGAGTGGGAGAGGGAGAAGCAGGCTTCCTGCTGAGCAGGGAGCCCGATGTGGGGCCCGATGTGGGGCCCGATCCCATGACCCTGGGATCATGACCTGAGCTGAAGGCAGACGCTTAATGACTGAGCCATCCAGGCGCCCCTGTACCAAGTGTTCTTAAATACCCTTACAGCCTTTCCCCTTACTTGACAGCTTTATGTTATATTCTTGAGATGGGTAGAATATGGTGAATGTGGTGAACCCAAGAGAAAAATACTGCAAGAGATACTGACTTCAGGGCTAACCCAAGTAACCCAGCCAGATGATTACTAGTGAGGCTCAGAGTTGGCAAGCCTCACATATGTACGTAAAGTTTGCAATCAGCTTTTTAGAGACCACTCTGAAGTCTGAGCAGCTGCTAGAGGCTGTACGACATATGATGAGACCCTCTGACTATACAGACATAAATAAACAGAAAAAACACCTTCAATGAAATGGAGATAATACCAGGAGATGAGAACTTATATAAAACATTAATTATCGGGGCGCCTGGGTGGCTCAGTCCTTAAGCGTCTGCCTTCGGCTCAGGTCATGATCCCAGGGTCCTGGGATCAAGCCCCACATCGGGCTTCCTGCTCGGCGGAAAGCCTGCTTCTCCCTCTCCCACTCCCCCTGCTTGTGTTCCCTCTCTCGCTGTGTCTCTGTCAAATAAATAAAATCTTTTTAAAAAACTTAATTATGTCCTTAAAAAGATAAGAGGTATTATTGCAGCCACAGCAGGAACCTATAAAAAGGAAAACATTCAGGAGCGCCTTGGTGGCTCAGTACATTAAGCGACCGACTCTTGATTTCAGCTCAGGTTATGATCTCAGGGTTGTGGGATTGAGGCCCGCATGGAGTCGGCTGGGGATTCTCTCTCTCCCTTTGCACCACCCCCCTCACTCACTCTCTCTCTTTCAAGTAAATAAATCATAATTTTTTTTTTAGAAAGGAAAATATTGGGGTGCCTGGGTGGCTCAGATGGTTGAGTGTCTGCCTTCAGCTCAGGTAGTGATCTCCAGATCCTGGGATTGAACCCCGCGTGGGGCTCCCTGCTCAGCGGGAAGTCTGCTGCTCCCTCTCCCTCTGCCTCTCCCCCTTCTCATGCTCTCTCTCTCTCTCTGTTTCTCTGTCTCAAATGAATAAATAAAAAATCTTAAAAAAAGAAGGAGAACATTCAGAGAACTGGAACAACTCTTAGAAATAAGAACATGAGAGGAAAATATGAAAAAACTCAATAGAAGCATTGATAATGTTGAAATATTTCAGAAACTAGAACAAATATAGAAAAAGATGGAAGAGAGAAAAAGAAAAGGATCCATCCAGGACACCCTCTATTCAAATAATAGGATTTCCAGGAAGAAACAGAAAAATAGTGGAGGAGAAATAATCATCAAAGAAATAAAGAAAATCTCCCAGAACTGAAGGACACGAGTCTCCAGTTTAAAAGGGCTCAACACAGGGCGCCTGGGTGGCTCAGTCAGTTAAGTGTCTGCCTTTGGCTCAGGTCACGATCTCAGGGTCCTGGAATCGAGTCCCACTTCGGGCTCCCTACTCAGTGGGGAGTCTGCTTCTCCCTCTGCCTGCTGCTTCCCCTGCTTGTGTGCTCACTCGCTCTCTCTCTCTCTCTCTCCCACCCCCAAATAAAGAAATAAAATCTTAAAAAATATATAAAATAAATAAAAGGGCCCAACAAGGGGTGCCTGGGTGGTTCAGTCGTTAAGCGTCTGCCTTCAGCTCAGGTCATGATCCCAAGGTCCTGGGATCAAGCCCCGCATCGGGCTCCCTGCTCTGCGGGAAGCCTGCTTCTCCCTCTCCCACTCCCCCTGTTTGTGTTCCCTCTCTCGCTCTGTCTCTCTCTGTCAAATAAATAAATAAAATATAAAAAATAAAATAAATGGCCCAACAAGGGGTGCCTGAGTGGTTCAGTCGGTTGAGCGTCCAGCTCTTGGTTTCAGTTCAGGTCATGTTCTCGCTCCCCCCACCCCAGTCCTGTGTCAGCGTCTGTACTCAGCAGGGAGTCTGCTTCCCCTCTCCCTCTCCCTCCACTCCTCTTCCCCCCCCCCGAAATTAATAAATTTTTTAAAAAATAGAAGGGCCCAACAAGTGGCCAATTCAATGGATGAAAACAGACACACCATGGCAGATTATTGGGATAATTTAGAACACTGGGACCAAAGAGAAGATCCTGAAAACTTCCACAAAGAGTAGGAAGACCGTCACATATGAATGACCAGGAATCAGAATGGCATCAGACTTTTCAAGCGTAACACTGAAAATTAAAAGACAACGGAACAATGCCTTAAATCCTGAAGAAAAATTATTTTTAACCTAGAATTCTATACCCAACAAACTCAACAGTGTGAGGGGAGAAGAACAGCATTTTAAAACATGTGAAGCTTCAACAAATGTACCTTCTATATAAACTTCCTCAGGAAACCACTGGAGGAACTAACTGGAGGCAAAACACCACACACACAGTGAAGGAGTGAATCAAGAAAGAAGATGACATGGACCCAGGAAACAAGAGATCCAACTCAGGAAAGGAGGCAGAGGAATCCCTAGGTTGCTAGTGAAGGGGGATCCATGGAGGACAGTTGTGCAGCTGGTTCAGATTGGGGCAGATCAGAAGGCTTCTGAAGAGCTGCCTCTAAGAACATGGAATAGATAGAATATGTGATATGTTTAAATACCTTGAGATGAAAATTCAGACAATTGGGAGAGGGTTTGGGGATGACTTACTGATCACTGTGTAGCAAACGAAGCAAAAGAGGAGTAGTAATGTAGTAGTAATAATATAACAATAATGGAATAAGGTATGGTATATATCATTTACTATTATTCTAAGGCATAAATTCTAAGGAATAATAATAATAATTGTTATTATTGGGACTCCTGGGTGGCTCAGTCGTTAAGCGTCTGCCTTCGGCTCAGGTCATATCCCGGGGTCCTGGGATCGAGCCCCGCATCGGGCTCCCTGCTCCGCGGGAAGCCTTCTTCTCCCTCTCCCACTCGCCCTGCTTGTGTTCCCTCTCTCGCTGTCTCTCTCTCTCTCAAATAAATAAATAAAATCTTTAAAAAAAAAAATTTACTGAGACCCTACTCTGCGTCAAGCACTGTGTTGAGTACTTAATAAATAGCATCTCAGAATTCTCACAGCCATCCTGTGAGATGAGTGATGTAGCCCAGTTTTACAAGGAAACCAAGGCTCAAAGAATATAAGAAAGTTGTCCACAGGGTGCCTGGGTGGCTCAGTCGGTTGAGCATCTGCCTTTGGCTCAGGTCATGATCCCAGGGTCCTGGGATCGAGTCCCAAGACGGGCTCCCTACTCAGCGGGAAGCCTGCTTCTCCCTCTGCTGCTCCGCCTGCCTGTGCTCTTCGGCTCTCTTTCTGTCAAATAAATAAGTAGAATCTTAAAAGAAAAAAAAAAGAAAGTTGTTCACAGTCATCCACTAATCAGTGGTAGAACTGAGTTTTTTTTTAAAGATTTTATTTATTTATTCATGAAAGACAGAGAGAGAGAGAGAGAGAGAGGCAGAGGGAGAAGCAGGCTCCCAAGGAGCAGGGAGCCCGATGTGGGACTCGATCCCAGGACCCCGGGATCATGACCTGAGCCGAAGGCAGACACCTAACCATCTGAGCCACCCAGGCGCCCTGAGATTTTTTTTTTTAAGATTTTATTTTTAAGTAATTTCTACACCCAACATGGGTGTAGAACTTAGAACCCCGAGATCGGGAGTCACATGTTCCAGCGACTGAGCCAGCCAGGCACGCCCCCGAACTGAGATTTTAAACAGTGATCTGTCTGCTTCTAATGCCCACACTCTAAACCAACCGTGCTTCTATTCCCAGCTTCTTGAAATTGAAGCATGGTTGGTTAGAGTACAAAGCGGGGTCTCTGGAAACATTTGGGAAACCGCTGGCTCAGAACCTCAGACTGATTCCTTCTCCCACTCCCCCAGGCTTACCTGCGAGCCATCGATGTGAAGATCCTGCAGCAGCTGTTGACCTTGAATGAGGGCCTCGAGGCTGTGCGCTGGCTGTTGGAGGAGAGGGGGACACTGACCAGCCACTGCGGCAGCCTCACCAGCAGCCAATGTAGCCTGACGGGCGGGAGCCCAGGCCACTCAAGGAGAGGAAGCTGGGACAGCCTGCCTGACACCAGCTCCACTGACCGGCTGGACAGCCTCTCCGTTGGCAGCTTCCTAGACACGGTGGCCCCCAGCGAGCTGGATGAACAGGGACCCCCTGGGGCTCCCCGTCCTGAGATGGACTGGGCAAAGGGTATACCCAGTGTGGACAGGGCCAGGACTGAGGTGGACCTGACAGCCAGCAGGCTAGGGAGCTTGAGGGCTGTATGGAAGCCCCCAGGGGAGGGGCTCCAAGGTGGACCTCCTGAACCACTAGAGGATGAAAGTGCCAAACTGGGCTTTGAGGCCCACTGGTACTGGCAGTGCCAGGATGATGTGACCTTCTTATAATAACTTTCCCACCCTTTTGTATCTCTATGGCTCTTTCATCGCTAGGCCCTGGTCTCCCTAAAATTTATTCTCCCTCGTTCTGGGTCCAGGAAGGGGCTGCATTGGAATCAGTTACCATGGAAACCTGGCCTTATCATCCTTCTGGTCCCTGAGGAGGCTCTCTCTGCCTTTATCCCTCAATTATGGGGACCCTAGAGCTATTTCCATAGATACATTGACTCTAGAGGCTTGACCTGTGGCTTATGGTACAATAGCACCTTTCCCTTTCCTCTGCAACTAGGTAAGGATTTGAGGGATTTAGGATGCCTAAGAGATCACTGAGGAAGAGATGGGGTAATTACCTCACCCAACATCTAGGAGTCTTGCCCCTTCTTGGCCAAGATGGGAACTGTGGAGGGACATGGACATTCAGGGCCAACCCTCCATGGAGTCGTCCTCCCAGAAGCCTTTGGGGTTGGTAGAACCATCCCTTCCTGTCTGGTGAGTGATGTCATTTCCTGCCAGGATGGCTTAGCCTTTCCTCTGTACCAGTCTCTCGGGGGTGGTAGGTCAGTATAGTCAGTATAGCAGCCCTTGCTGCTAGGCAAGACCATACCGTTTATTCTCCATACTGTTACTTCTTGCAAGCAGGACCATACCCTTCCCCCCTTTTGGTAGGAAAGCTTCTCACTGTCAGAGGTTTGTGCTTCTTTTCAGAAAGATTCTTACTTTTTAAATGGGGTGCTCTCATTTTATTCTAGAGGGTCTCACTTCCTCTGTGCCCACATCCCTGTCTGATGCAAGCACTCCTACATCTGTGCTTTTAGGAAGGGAAATGCAGGGGCCTCTACCCACGGCTCTCCAAAGTTTGTCCAGCCCACCCTGTTTGGTCCCCTGTCTTTCCCTGTCCCGGGGTTGCCCCCATTCGTGTATTCTGGCTCCATATCTGTCTGCCAGGACGTCCAACCTTTGTGTCTCCACACCTTCTCGGTTTTCACTTCCACAGGCCTTTTATATGCCAATGAGTCCTCCATCCACCCCCCTTCTCTCCCCATTGCCGATGGAAATCAGAGAGAGGAGAAGCTTGAAGTCTCCGTTGCGCTGGAGGTGTATCATAATTCCCAAAGGGCGGGGGGAGGTGTCTTCTTGGATCCTGTGATTTCCCTTCCCCCATCCTGCCCCAGACTTTCCTCCATTTGGTCACAAGGATGTGTGCCAGAGGCTGAGATACAACAAATCCCCTTGTCTGGGTTACAATGGGTGGTGGTGGGGGTGTGTGGCAGGGAAAGACAGAGGCTCTTTGGTCCTAGGGCCCACATCCTGGGAGGGGGAGAGATCCAGAGGAAGCCTGCTTTCCTTCCTCCCTTAGAGCAAGCCCTGGACTCCTGGGACCTGAGGAGAGGGCGGGAGACCAGCTCTGGGCCTGGGTCCTAGGGCCCTAGTGATTTACAGCAAAGAAAGAATACACAGAAGCTGCCAACCTGGGGCCCAAGGAGGGGACAGGTCAGAGGTGGGGGGGCTATAACTGATGTCAGAGAATGAATGCTTGGAGATGAACCCTTTGAACCCCAGCTAACTGTCCATATTTTGGTCCTTATCTTTCCTGGGGCCTGAAACTAATTATTGGAAGGCAAAAAGGAGAGAAAAGGATGTCAGGTGATCCTTGCCTAGTTGCTGTGCCATCTCACGTGAAGAAGCGGTCTTCCCCAAATCCTAGAATAACTCCTGCAATGTCTTTACTTTTCATTCTGTGCTGGGGAAGGGAAGGAAGCCAAGTTCACCTCCACTTCCCCTAAATTCCTCAGGTTTTGTTCTGCAAGCACCACTCCAATCCTTTTGGGGCAATACATTCAGCCTGTGGCTCTCCCCTAAAGACCCTCTCTTCTCCCATCCCCTCAAAGTGATGGAAATCTCTAAAGTATATTCCTAGCCCCTTCTCCTTTGCTACCTGCCAGCCCTCTCCATACCACCTCTCCTGGTCTTGGGGGGTCCTGATTTCCCCTCTGGCTGGGAATACAAATACCCTTTTCCAGCCCCAACTCTGTTGCCATTTTGTAGTGTGCTCTTGGGTAAACTACCTTTTTCACTTAGAAGCCTTGTGTCCCTTTTTGAAGCTTACTTGTTTGATTAGGCTACAAACTTCTGAGCTGAAGGGGTTGCACGCCCTCTCGTGGCCATTATGCACCATTGCCAGGAATAGCTGCATAGAACCTCCAAGCTCAAGTACAGCCTTACAGAACCAGCCACTTAGTGCACAGACAGGCTAGAGAGACAGGCCTAGAGAGGGCAGAGATTTGCCCAGTGTCACCCATTGTAGATGCACAGCAATGCCCGGGTTAGAGAATCCAGATCTACAGTGCCATCACTTGGCCAGCTTATCTGTTCCCCTGCCCCACCCAGTCAACACCACTCAAGCCCAAAGGACAGAAAGCAATTTTTCCCATTTAACATTTGGGTTCTTAATCCCACCCTAGAGAGGCAGCTCAGTGTTTGGAGAAAGAGCTATAGGCTCTGAGGGAAGAGAACCTTGGACCTGGATTGGGTAAAGCGTTCATGAATCTGGACTGCAGATACAAGAAAAATTATCCTGGACCAACTATTTTTCCAGGGAGGGCCAGTAGGCCCAGATATGATGGAGGCAGAGAGCTCAGCATTTCGGACCAGGAGGTTAGAAGTGGGGTGGGGGTGGGGAGCTTTGAGATGAGGAAATCCAGATGGGTCCTGTGAAGTTGGGGAGCTCCACACTCCACAGGTCAAGGGAGTACATAGAGCCCAGTTTGATAGGCACAAATGGGTAAAGGCAGGGATGAGATATGGCAGCTGCAGAAACAATGTCTAGGAGGGTAAAGGGTGGTGCTGACAGCATGATGGACCATCATGGAGATAGGAGACCACGGGAGTGGGCAAGTGTGAGGGCCCGCATTTAGGATGGGATGGTAAGGCTGAGCACTGGGCGGACTGGAGGCTCAGTGGCAGCTTGGGTGAGAAGTGCTCAGGGCTTGTAGCAGACAAGCTCACTGTGTGCAAGGGGCCAGGCACTGCTGGGTGCTCGGTCACACCTATTGAATGAATGGAAGAATGAATGTGTGTAAACCCACAAGGAGATGTGACTTATTTTTTTTAAGTGGGTAATTAGGTAGTAGTAGGTAATTTAAAACATTATTCTATTTAATTCTTAGCAACCCTATAAATAATGCATTATTAACAATGTATTGTTGCTTAAACATTTGCTCAAGGTCAGATAGATAATAAAACAACTGTAATATGAAACTGGGTCAGTCTGGCTGCTTGGGCTTCCAGAAAGTCTTCTCTGATTCCCCCATCCTTGGTGTCACAGATGTCCCTCTTCTAGAACAGGCTACGCTGCCCAGCAGCAGGGCCAATGTACTCGCTTCCTGCTGCTGCTGTGATGATTTACCACAAACTTCTTGGCTTAAAACAACCCAAATGTACTATCTTACAGTTCTGGAGGTCAGAAGTCCCAAATCAGTTTCACTGGGCTAAATTAAAGTCAAGGTGTTGACCTGTCTGTATTCCTCCTGGAGACTCTAGGGGAGAATCCATTTCTTTGCCTTTTCCAGCTTCTAGAGGCTGCTTGCATTCCTTGATTCGTGGCCCCTTCCTCCATCTTGAAGGCAGCAGATAGCATCTTCTCTTCTCTCTGACCTCTGCTTCCATCCTTTCATCTCTTTCTAATTCTCCTTTCTCTTACGAGGATTATGTTGTGATTACATACGCTTGTGATTATATTGGGCCCCCTGGGATGATCTAGGATCATCTCCCCATGTCAAGATCCTTAATGTAACCTTATCTTCCAAGTCCCTTTTGTCATAAAAGGTGAAATATTCACAGGCTTTGAGGATTAGAACATGAACATCCTTGGAGGCAGGGCCATTATTCAGCCTACCGGAGATGGAGGGTGGGCAGATGGATGCACCCAGGCCCAGAATGAGCCCCTATGTTTTGGCTAGCCTCCCTCAGCCTGGAGTGAAGGGTGGTGGGAAGGTGGTGGCCAGGTCCAGGCCCCATGTCTGGAGAATGCATCATCTCTACCAGGGAGAGCTGAGACGGAAGGGAGAAATTCTCAGCTTGGGGAATTTTCAGGCTTGACACTTTTCCTGGTGAACATGGTGGACGGTTCCAGAAAGTTCTCTCTTCAACACTGCCTCCTCTCTAGAACCATTCTTTGCTCCTCAAGGCAGAAGATAATTACCAGCGAACTAGCCTGGGCTCTCTCTGGAAAGGGTAGATTCGTTGTCACGTTTTTATTTTTATTTTTATTTATTTTTAAGATTTTATTTTATTTATTTGACAGAGAGAGCACAAGCAGGGGGAGCGGCAGGCAGAGGGAGAAGCAGGCTCCCTGCTGAACAGAGAGTCCGATGCGATTCGGGGCTCCATCCCAGGACCCCGGGATCACGACCTGAGCTGAAGGCAGACGCCGACTGAGCCACCCAGCCGCCCCTCCTTGCCACCTTTTTAAATTATTATTTTTTATTCCTTAATAAATTAAACCATGCTCCTCAGAGCATGGTAAACTCTCATCCTCAGTTGATACGAGCCCCTCTATTGCTTTATTTTCTTCTTTTGGTCCTTGAGCCCTATTCTCATTCCTCTCCCTGACCTAGGCATACCTTCTAATGTTTTAGTATGTGTTTGGATATGTTTGTATCTTTAAATATATATATAATTGTGTTCTTATGTGTTTTACTATATATAAATGATATTCTTTTACAATAAGCTAACTTCCATAATGAATTGCCTCATATTTCAGTGATTGAACACAATAAAGATTGATTTTTCACTTACAGGGGAATACAGATGTTCCTGCTTGGACTCCTCTCTTCCACTGTCCATTTCAGGTCCCAGGTTCCTTCTGTTTTTCAGGTGGTGATAGACTGATTCTGCATCATAAAGTTCCTGTCAACTTTTTGCCAAACTGTTTTAACATCCATTAATGTCCGTTTTATAAATTGGTTATTTCACTAGAGATTACAAAATGATGACTTTTCTAATGCTGT